ACCAACATTTGTCAGAACCCTCTTGAAATTTTCGACCGAATTCATTTGAGGTTCGATAGAAATTATGCTCATATTCAATTGTAATCCTATGATTTTTCCAAAAACTCACATGGAAATATGCTTCGGATTCATTTTGTCCCAGAATCTTCATTAAATTATCCTCAGAATTTCCTCTTTTGTTCTCCTCAGAATAATCATGGTGTAATCCTCCTTCTCGTCCAAATTTTCTCATAATTCCTTAAGAATTAACTTCAAAAGCTGTTATGAATTTTCATTAAAATTTATATTGAATCCTATTCAAGGTTGACTTGGAATTCTACTCAGAATTACCTACAAACCTAGAGTTCTAGAAAATTGATGTTAATAATCCAAGGGTTAAATTTTATGGACATTGACAAGACTAAAAATTTAAACATATCAGGTACATGGACTTGGTGAAATTTTAGAGATGTGGATTCAGATGTAACTTAAACAAATCAGTAGATTAACTATATATAAAACCAAAAGCTACTTATTGATCTTGTAAAATAAATTAGAGTTTATCTCTGGGAGTGCCTTGAATTTTCTTTATAACAGTGCAGAAGTTCTCTGCAGAACACTAAAACAGTAATTAAATTCGTCTTTAGATTCTCTTTGAATTATAAACGTCTTTTTTTAAAAGAATTCACCTCCTTAGAAATTCCCATGCTGTTAAATTTTTAATCTGAATTGTCTTGGAGTTCTACTGAAAATTCACATGGAGTTCTCCTTAAAATTATCTGGAAATGCTTTCCAATTCCAAGTAGTTCCTAGTCCAAGTTGTACCCAAGAAATTGTTCACGGGGCTACTTAAAAAAAAACACTGATCTCACACAATTGACTTGGAGCTCTAGTCATAAACTTCGTATAGTTCATCCCAAAACTCCATGGAACTTTTTGTCCGAAGTACCTTGGTTATACATATCTCTAGAATCTATTCTAAAACCTGTTCAAAACTGCTTTGGAAAAAAGTTCTTTTAATAGTTCTTCAAAGTAACTGTATCCTGAAAATCTAGTCTTAAGATTTTTTTAAAGAGAGGAAGAAGCACATTTTATTCAATTTGGCATCGAAGTTCACGAGTTTATCCCGGTGACATCGAATTTCTGGTATTTTCCGGTTATTCCGATTTCCCGGTCACCCTAATTATTTAATTTTTCAGTTGAATCTGGACTCCTGAACGGTACAAAATGGCAAAAAAGTGTACTTTTTCGTTCGTTAGTTTAATGAACTTCCAACTAAGAACGAAGCATACTGTAGCACTGTAACAATTTGTATTTATTGTTTTAACGAATTTTACATTGCAATTCAAGCGGGAATGGCGAAAAAAGCGACTTTAGTGACTTTTCGACGAAAATAGGGACTTGTTAGTGACCACCTTCAAAAAAGTGACAAAGTCACTAGAAAGTGACCCACTATCAGCCCTGATGCACCTTCTTAAGTTGATGTAGGATTAACTTTCCCTTCCTTTGCCTGCGATTGTAAGGCCACATGGCCAGGTGTATAATGTGATGCTTGTTTTGTAGATTTGATTTTTATGTGGGGAAAATCACTAATCCCAAGTGTTTTTTTTTAACGCACGATATTTTCAGCAAAACGTATTAGTTGACCATTACATAGCCACCCATGATTTGTACAATCGCATATGCTATGCTATCTATTGAATAAACCAAAAGTCCCGTGCGTTTTGTGCATGAAAATGCGTAATTTTGTCATCAGAAAACGAGCCGTGATGGGAAAACGTGGTTTCCTTAACACAATCGCCGAATATTGATACCGAGCACGTAATCCTACGTCAAATCTACGATCGTGTCTTGGATACCACCGCTTAGTTTTTCCCGGTAAAATTTTATAAATTTCCCGATTATTAATATTCAGCAATCTGAATTTTTCAACAATCCGGACCTGAAAAAAAATACTCAAAAACCAGAAATTTTGAAGAAAATCCAAGATTCGATAGAACATAAATTATAAGTCCTGGAAAAATTTGCAGCCACTGTACGTTGACGTTGGTTTAATGGATTTTAAACCAACACACATCTTTTGTAGGTTGGGAGACATTGAGAATTTCCTTTCAACTCAAACAGTGCAACCTCTTTTTGAACTACCTTTCTGGTGTCCATTTTTTCAGCATTCGTTTTTTTTTTTTTCATTTCCAGAGTGTTCCATAATGACCGACTATAGTTCTTCTTGCATTGTCATCTGACGATGTGGATTAGTGTTCTCAGTACTACAATTTATTTGTCCACGATTAGGGGATCCTTTGATCAGTCATTTTGCTTCTTCTTTGATAAACTTCATGATTTGCGCTCTTGAAATGATTGGTACCGGAGACGAACCAGCGCCTCCTTAATAAAGATAACTAACTAACTAACTCTGATTAGTAGATCAGGTGTTGTAGGTACGATGTTGTTTTTCAGGAATCTCAATAAGGACACTAATTCCTTATTGTGTCGCTCTGAAATTCTCTTTTTAATGGGTGTTTAAAACTCGTCTGAAATTGAGCTATTTTGTTGCTACAATTTGGAATATAGGAGAGTCAAACTTCAGCAGTAAGAAATATCACGTCACGTCTATCCAGAGCCTCTGATGTTTATCGGATTGGCTGAAGAGAGCTATAGAGGCCCGTGATTGTGCTTACATCCGAATCCGATATTAGATTTGATAGCCCCAGTTCATCAATGGATTCTTTGACTCAATGATACACCTTTATTAAACGCTCCAACATACGTTCGGAACTATTCTACCGTGTGTTCACATCAATCAAGAGTTGAAGCGGTTTGCCGAACGGGTTTTAATTTTATCTTGCAAAATCGAATTTTCACCGGTGATCGTCGAAAAGGTTGGCCACTTTTCGGATCTGCCTTAAAATATAACCATACTGTTGCGTGTTATACAAATCTAGAATAAAGAAAGTAATATCAGGAGTAATGATCATCAACCGGACAACCTACCATATTTTATCATAACTGAAGCTCCGTCAGTGGTAGAGGCTAATATATTATTCAACTCAATACCGAAGCTGTGTCATTCACAAGAACAACTACTTTTTAAGCAGAGAATGATCCGTGGATACGGGCTAAGCCATGATTGTAGAACGAACCGTCTCCAAAATGGGCATTCACATTGATGTAGCGCTTATTTCTCTGGCTAGTCCACTCGCCCATCGTCACACTAAGAAGTTCATTCACAGCAATCCATTTCTGTGACATGTTTAGCCTTTTCACAGAAATCAACTACCTACTTCATGACTACTGATTTCGTAGGTTTGGAAAATGCAGCTATTGTTGAATAAATACACTTTTGGTAATCGCCGTGATGGAAAATCCTTCAACAGCGGCAAGACGAGCACAATTTCCGGTAACGATTGCCATTTCAAAAATTGAAACATCGTAGGCTGTTCACATTTACAGGATGCGTTGGCCACCCCTGTATTTGTTACAAGTTCCCCGGGAAATGACCAGAGTCTCAAACCAAAACCCATCATGTGACATGTCAAATTACAGATAAATGCAAAACTAAGGTCGATGTTGGTCATATTGTGTGTTCAATAGCTTCACAAACATCGAGCATTCATCCAAACAAATTTCGATACTGTTCCGAAAAGATACAATGGTGTTTTCGGTAGCAAATTTCAAATCGCGTTGTCTATAACAAACACCAACACACTATATTTCTCGATTATTTTTTCGTAGGGACGTATCAGCTTTTGTAAACAATGCGCGAACAGAGATGTTATGCCTCAGTACATCCCGGCGGCACCGACTGGGGTTTGAACCCAGGCCTGCTGGGGTGAGAGGTAATCACGCTTACCACTACACCACCGGCGCCGCTTCGTTCTAGTTCTAGTCCTAGTTCAGAATAGAATTCCAAGGACATTTTGACCCTTACGTCAACCTTCATGATGACTAACTTTCAAACTCGAGCAATTAAAAAATACAAATGCATGCATATAATTGAAACCAGAAGAATCGGATAGCTTTGGATCCAATTCGAATACAAATGTGTCTTATGGTGGTTATTTACAGGCATGTATATATTATTGGCGATTTATAAGGTTTCGCATAATTTACATGAATTATCATATACATTTTCGCAAATTCACGAGCTAACCTCGTGTTTGCAATAAATCGTTGAAATTAACATGGGTTTTGTACCGAATACGAAGATATACGAGTAGACGAGAATGTCACAGCAGTTGTTTCCATATCTAAAGAATAGTAAAAATCATAGCAAATTAATCGCACAGACTATTGATATGTTGTGTAAATTAATCAATTAAATGACATATTAATATCTTATTTTGCTATCAGATCAAAATTAGTTCTTGAATTCATGTGACCAAAATATCATAACAATAGCAAATTATGCTTTGATATCAGAATAAGCCATTAACTTGTTATAGTGCACCCAACAACATAATAAGAGCGGAGACGAGTCAGCCAACGGCTGAAAGTCTCCTTAATAAATATATATAAAAAAAAACATAATAAGATATTGATAGTAAAATTTGCTATTATTTTGCTATGGTTTTGTTATTTCCCTCTACTCGGGTAGCCTTTTAATCGCGTTTCTTCTGCGCTGTGCAGAAAATCCGCATACATTTTTGATAACTTCTAGGCTTTGAAGTATCTGGATTAAGTTTCTTATTATTTCCTGCTTTTATTTTATTCATACCATTCATTCATTATTTCATAGTCATAATGAATTGGCAAATTTTACTGCTTGTACCAAGATGACAGAACGACCAAACCCGGATCCTGATTTCATCTAGTCTCAAACGAAAACTCTCTCGAACGGGCGAGCAATACCCGGACTGGACAAGTGCATTTGCACCCATCATCAGTGACATTACGATGCAATGGATGGCCGGTCGATACCGTTGTATATGCGTATCCTAATTACTGTTTTTCTAGTTTCTCCTATTCCACTCCAACCAAATTGCGTATTCCCACAACCATTCCCCATCGAAAAACAAACTTACCTCTATTATTATCCCTCGCAGAATATTCCACTCTGGTCAAACGTAAACAAACGAGACAATCCGTTTTCTCGGAAAAAGTCACCGACTGGGACACTCAAAATAATGCACGATCCTGTGTCGTAAAAAAAAAAACACCCACAAAAATTCCTCTTTTCTAATCAGTGCTCCAAGGCACGGCTCCAACTTCACTCATGATAGCCATCTTTTTCTGCTACCGCTGCTGTTGCTGCTGCTGCTCCGGGTTGCCTTCTTCCTTGTGACGACATATTTTTTCACTCTTCCACTTTTTCAGTGCCACGATAAACAACAAATTCCACCACTAGGTACTGGAAAGCCCAGCCAGAATAAGGCCTACCGTCCGCGCTTATCACCAGTAGCAGCACTCCGATCGATTTAACTGCACCGGCCTGATCGTAAACACCACCATTCGCGGACAGGCGAACTCTCACCGGATTGATAATATTGCACCAAGGCTTCTAAAAACACTCTTAAATTTTCCGAAGAATCTCAAACGCCACCGTCGCCTCACAGATCCACATCCCCGTCCGATCCTATTCCAAATCCAAGAGCTGTCACTAACCTTTTTCTATGGTTTTCTCGTTTACTACTGACTGCGCTTTATAAACGTAGAATGCGAATGAAACGGAACGAACGACGACGTCTCCGAGGCACCGCGCCACATTGGCACAACCACATCGAACTTGCGCTGCTTACACACCAACACCTCGCATTCACACCGAACCACAAGGCATTACAAACTATAGTCGCTATATTAATAGAGTGGCGGATATAATTTAGATCTATTAAGAAACGGAACCAATTAATTCAATGCATTGGAGACCTATATTTAAAAGAGATACCATCAACTTTTATTAACAAAACTGATAGTTCTATCATCGCCAACCGAACACAAATTAACAGCATCATTGGATAGGGGAAACATTCCCAACCCACTGATGGTGTTGATTTGCGTAGTTGAGCCTTGTGTCACGAGTTTTGTTCGTAAAAGCTGATATCAGGCATAACATTTGATAACGGCACAAAAGCATTCGCAAACAAACTTTCTAAGGCCCTTTACACGTGAATCAAAGTACGCCCACGCAAACCAATGCCACTTTCGGAAAGGTGATAGTTGCCCCTATCCGATGATATTGTTGGTTTGCGTGGGCGTACTTTGGTTCGCGTGTAAAGGGTCTTAGAAAGTTTGTTTACAAATGCTTTTGTGCCGTTATCAAATGTTATGCATGCTCTTTTCTGTTGTTGATCGTGATGTGTTCGATTGGTTCCGCTATTTGACAGCTCAATTGGTTCCCAAAATTCTATCCGCCAGACTATAATTATAGCAACTATATTACAAACACGTTTGACTGGGCGACTAGAGGGGGGTTGACTATCAACATTCAGCATAGAAGCGGTCGGTCGGTCGGCTCGGTTCGACGAGCAAAACATCATCAGCGTCAGACTAATAAAGCCCTCTTGTAAAAGTATGGACGTTGGCCAATAGCTGTTCCAATCGAACTGTCAAAATGCACTGCTCTCCCTTATATCTGTAATCGATATTTTGCACAACATACTTCATCCAAACTATTTCAAGCTGCACAATGCATTAGGTCATAAGTAATATTGACAGATTCTCTACATAGACGTACTCTTGCGTTGATATTTTGGGTACAGAACCGTTTATTATCGTACATACAGATCGATGAAAAAAGATGTTATCTTACTTCTAATACGACAAAGAAGTTAGATAACATCTTTTTTCATCGATCTGTATGCTGAAAATAGCTAGGAATGTCTTAACATGGCCTCGAGCAAGCAAAGAGAAAGTCGACGAAGTGAATCTATCAATGCGACCTAGGACCTAATGCATTGTTCAGCTTGATTTATGGAAAAGTTCTACCATTTTAGCTATCGTTCGTTTAAGGTATTGTCTATTAGGGTTTCTTGATTGGTACATCTTTTTTAAAATATCTTATTTCAGTCGTCCGTACTTTTACTGTAGGGCTTTATGTCAGACTGGGTTGGTTCTGCGTAATATGTTGCAGCTGGGTTGGGGCTGTGTTAGTGCCATGGTTTGTGTTTACATCGTTTACTTACACATCCGTTTACAGTTTTGCTCGGAATGGCACATACACCACCATGTGATCGCGGTGACAGATTGGATTTATGCTGGGTCGCCAACGAGGGGCTCATGAAAGTGACAGGTGCGCTTGATTTTTTTAAAGCTGTATCCCGAAAAAAAAAATCCAATAAAAATACAATGATTTTCATTGTCATTGTAACCATAATATTCATAACATTAAAAATCATGGTATTTGAGAAATTTACAGTAAAAAAGGGGGGTTGTTAAGCATCTTAACAATAAAAAAAAGTAATTTTTCTCGAACAAATTTGAGCTCATCACACTAATTTTCGTTGTTTGAGCATTGTATCGTTAAAAATCGAAATTTATTTTTCTCCTGTACAATAATTTAACAATAAATTTTAATGTACTCGAAATTCAACTGTAAAAATTATTGTAATTTCATTGTTTTATTATAATTATTTTTTTTTTTTCGGGATAAGATCCAAAATCAAATCAATTTATGATTTATCCTAGGTGCTCCAGCTACTTACCAACCTTATTAGTTATATATTCAAGTGCGGGAAATAAAAATCTGCCTCTCAATACACAGCGGGATAGCAAATTTGGCAGCGCGATAGCAACCGACCCAAGCGTTGCTATGAAATGTAATGTTTGGTTTTTAATTTTAAAATTGTTAAAAATCACTTGCAATGATGGTATATGAATGAGTTTGAATCTGGGACCGAAATGTAGACCCCAAGGACAACAGAGCGGTCCTCCGAAACATTCGTAAAAAATAAATAATTTAGAGCTCCTTTAATTTGAATGTTTTCAATTGATTCATACATGCTTTATCAGACGTTTTATAGATGTATGCTTGCTCTATTAGTGGATTTCATTGCATTGCTTTACAATATTTAAAAAAAAAAAGGGTAAAACAGCCAGCATAATAGCTCTTATACCACACTGTCTCCCGTTCTTATTTTCATGTGTGTACGGAAGCAATGATGATGTCTCATAAACGCTGAATAATCAACAAATATGATCTTATAAGCTCTGTCACAACTCATGCCAGTTGAATAAAGGCTTGTCGACATATCTTGTTCAATGATGTGGTTGAATAAATTCCAGATTTGTGTGTGCAAAGCCTGACTAGAAGTTATTATCGAGGTTATTATTGATAATAGTGCATGTATTATTAAGCATGCAGTTGAATAAAATCAAGAAGTCGTTTCTTCAAACATTGACTATTCAATTCAATCACTGCTAATAATAATAATATAAATAAGGTTCTTATAATGTTTATCCCTAAGGGAAGTACAACTTAATCTGAAGTAATATTTGGTGTAAAAATTGCTCAAATTGATAGTTATTATAATTTTTAGTATAAATATTAATGATATAAACTGTCAAGCGGAAAGCTTCAAAGTAAAAAAAATAACAGTGTAACTTTAACGCATACACTCAATGACGTTTCACCGTTGTTGTTTATTTTTACTACAGCTTTCTGTTTGTCATAATTTTTGCCTAGATTTTCGTTTTCGATAGCTCTGATCGATTTTGACTTCGGTTTTTCATGATAAAAACGGTACGACGTTCCCCCAGCAGCAAATCTCTCCAAGTTGCAGGCTCATGGCGAACCGAGCATAATACGACCACGGAACCATCACTCTGGGACTCCGTCAACAGGGGCGGCGTAGTTAGTCGATTCCTGTTCCATCGGAGGACAGCACATTGGTTCGCAGACGATGAAGAATTCGTGGAAATTAATGACTACTTCCTGGGAACGGAAGTGCGGCCGATTTTGTGCACTGAGATCAGCTATCAAATAATGCCAAATTTATGAGAACAAGGAGCGGATTTTGGCGGCGGTAGCCAGCAAGATTTTCAAGGAATGACTTGCCTCTCGTGTGAAATCCATTTTTGATTAAACAAATGTCAAATGTACACTTAAAACCAAAAATATTCAAAAAAAACAACAAATGTCAGACTAAGTGTAAGATTCGCAAATATCACACATATTACAATATTTAATATTTCCACTATCTGTATTGATGCTGATACTTGGAGCTGTCCTTCCCCTAGGTTTATCCCATATATTACAGATTAGTAATCCTAAATACAGAGATTCGTGGAAACATTATCAGACGATTTGGCAACGTGATTTGATTTGTTAACAAAAAAATTAAAGGGTTGTGTCCTAGACACGACCGCAGTATGACGTAGAACCACACAAAATTGATGTTTTTCATGCATTTTTGACTATTACACTTTATCTTAAAATTTTCAAGTATTTCAATGTTTCGATTATGGTTCTCTCAAAACAATTTAAACATTTTTCTTGACAAATATATTAATTTGAAATTCCACATGATTTTCATTTGACCACACATAAACAGAATCCACTCAGAAGTACACATGGAATTTATACGCAAATGAATAGTATGTGTGGTCACGCATGGTTTTTACATGTACATATATTAAGTATGTGGCCGACACATAGATATTGATTTGTTGATCCCGTTGCAACAATTTATGTGTGGAACACATAAAAACTCCAGAACAAGATCCTAAACAGTCCAGGACCCAAAATTCTGAGGTTCACCGCCTGGCTGGCCTTCAGCCTCTCGAAGAGCGACGAACGGTCTCCTTGGAAAGGTTCAGAGACACCTGTCTGAGATTAGATCTTCAGATCATACGTGATCTGGCACGTTAGTTAAGTTAGACTCGTAGTTAGGTAGGTTATCAATTTTTTCAATTAAAACAAAACAAACCCCCCAAGGGGTATTCTGTTAACTAGAAGAAATACGCAAATACTAAATTATAATATCCAATGAACAAAGATGAAGAGCCAGATAAATGTAAAATCAATGTATACACCATAATCAACAGAAATAAACGAAATTTTACTACTACTACTTTTAGAGTCAGTGGTGTGTAATTCATCAGCATAATATCATCGAATATGTTTTTTCTCAAATTTGAAAGTTATGGTGCGGAAAGAAATTAAGGGAAAACTTCTGTTTTTACTAATAATTGTAGTTTGTTTAAAATTTATTTCCCGGAAAAAAGTGATCGTCAAAGTCCATGTCTTTTTCGGATTATTGTTGAGGGGGGGGAGGTTGTTGTGAAGGGGAGGAGGGGGTTTACAAACATTGCATTTTCTCATTCCTCATTGTCTCATTACGCCGTGATCCACCTTTAGCCACTGACTCGGTCCTGCTTGCTGCAGGACCAAGTGGCACGCCGTCCGAGGCGACAATGTGCAAAAGCACGACAGCAGCGCTGTTTTATATCTTTTCAGGTTCAAGCAGAACGATGTGCAACCAAACCTGATAGGTTTTCCGCCGGTTTTTATGAATGGGGTGAAGCAAAAAGTTTCTTTTGTGCAGAATATGTAAAAAAAGATGGACTTTGGATGTTAATATAATTGCATATATAGAGGTACCAGATATGTTTTACCGTCAGTTGTTGGTAAT